GGGGATGCAGGTGCCCGGGGAAAAAAATCTTGCACCAGGGCCCTTTGTTCCCTAGGTCCTCCACTGACAGCTCCCATGGCTTCCTATTGATAATAAGCTCTTCTGCCTTTCCATAATGTTCAAATATTAACTCATGGACGGATACAATCTAGTTCAATGTTTACACCCGTTCCATTGTTTGAGGACCGGGAACGAATGTTTTGCCGAGCAGAAACCAGTATTTGTATTTGTGATATGAAACGGTTCTCTTAGCCTCCAGGAAGAAGGAAGTGGTGTCAAATGAATGTTTGCCAACAGCAGGTGAAATGCCTGAGCCACCCTGTTTTCTGTTTATGTTGCAGTCACTTCGAGGTTCATTTACAGAAGGTTTTCTTAATGTCACAGTGCGCACACACCCTACATAGGACACACAGCTACAGATACCAGTTTCTGCCCTGTCCTCATGCACAGCAGTCATTGAAATCAAGACTCTTTGAAATGAGTGTTTTAGGTCATTCCCCACCGAGGTGTCCTCTTCTTCGGGTGTAATGCAGACATTTCAGCACATTTTTGCAACAGTTTTTTTACATAGTTCAATATTTCAACACTAATATCTAAGGAATGAATACATCAAGACATTGATTTTGTTTTAGACTATGATACACAGGAAAATTGTATTGCCATGCTTACCGCAATTTTCCTTTCCTGACAGCTCCATGGCAGCACACAATGTGCTGCCATGGAGCTGTCAGGGAAAAGTATTATTACAGTTATTTGCAGGGATAGTATTGGGGGTTAGATCATGGTCAGGATTAAGGTCGGGGTTAGATGTTAGGTTGACTTTTACGGGTGTGGTGTAGAGCCAGGTCTAAGCTTTAAGATTAGTTGTTAGACTGAGGGCTAGGCGTTAGGTTGAGGGTAAGGGCTGGAGATTGGCGTTGTAAATGTTTGGTTGAGGGTTACATGCTAGGCTTAGAGTCAGGATTATGGTTTAGAAGTTAGATGGTAGAGGTTTGGTTGGGGGTCAGGATAGGGTTTGGCATTATATGTTAGTTTGACTGTCAAGGGTAGGTGTAGGGTCAGGGGTAAGCTTTAGGATTATTTGGTAGACTGATGGCCAGGGTAGAGGTTAGGTTGAGAATAAGTGCTGGAGATTGGGGGTTACGTTTGAAGCTAGATTGAGGGTTAGATGCTAGGCTTAGCTTGAGGTTAATGGTTTAGAAGTCAGATGGTAGATGTTTGGTTGAAGGTCAGGATAGGGTTTGGTATTTTATGTTAGTTTGACTGTCAAGAGTAGGTGTAAGGTCAGGGGTAAACTTTGAGATTATTTGACAAATCAATTGCTAGGATCGGGGGTTAGGTTTAGGATAAACGCTGGAGATTTGGGTTAGGTTTGTAGATGGTAGATTGAGACTTAAGTGCTAGATTTAGAGCCAGGGTTATAGTTTGGAGGTTGGGTGTTGGATGTTAGGGTTGAGGGTCAGGAGAGGGTTTGGGATTAGATATTAGGGTTGAGGGTCAGTTGTTGAGTCAGGGTTGTGGTTTGAGAGCCAGGTTTTGGGTTTGGATATCAGGTTGGGGGTTAGGAGTTAGATTAAGTGTCAGGGGCTAAGGTCTGAGGTTAGGTGTTAGATGTTAGTTTGTAGGATAGCTCTTAGGTTGAGGGTTGAGGTAGGTTGGGGCTAGGTTTTAGCTGTTAGTTTGTAGGATAGCTCTTAGGTTGAGGGTTGAGGTAGGTTGGGGCTAGGTTTTAGCTGTTAGTTTGTAGGATAGCTCTTAGGTTGAGGGTTGAGGTAGGTTGGGGCTAGGTTTTAGCTGTTAGTTTGTAGGATAGCTCTTAGGTTGAGGGTTGAGGTAGGTTGGGGCTAGGTTTTAGCTGTTAGTTTGTAGGGTAGATCTTAGGTTGAGGGTTGAGGTAGGTTGGGGCTAGGTTTTAGCTGTTAGTTTGTAGGATAGCTCTTAGGTTGAGGGTTGAGGTAGGTTGGGACTAGGTTTTAGCTGTTAGTTTGTAGGGTAGATCTTAGGTTGAGGGTTGAGGTAGGTTGGGGCTAGGTTTTAGCTGTTAGTTTGAGAGTCAGGAGAAAGTTAAATTGTTAGGCTAAGGGCTAGAATTAAGAGTTAAATGAAGGGAAAGGAGCAGAGATTGGATATAGTTGTTTGGGATGAGGATCTAGTGTCAGGTGTTAGATGTTGAGAGTCGGGCTAATGGATAGAAAGTCTCATGTCTGCCCTCCATAGCTGTAAATCACGTTGAATATTAATAGTGGAATACAACTTTGAGTGAACGTTGCCTTTGTAAACTTGTATACATAGTAGAATAAACATCGTATTTCAAGAAATGGCTTTATGAAAAATAAAGGATTCTCATATCAGATGGAATTCTACAATATACTGGAATAAATTGTCACCACAAAATTATATGTTACAAATATTTACAAATATGTTACAAATGATATTTTCTTTTTTTCCTCAGCTTCTCCCTCACCCCCGGCCGTGTCTCAGGGCAAAAGCTGGCCGTACCTGGTGGGATTCGTGCTCATCGCCGCCGCTCTGTCTCTTCTAATAGCCGCTGCCGCCAGGTGCAAGCTGTTCCATCGGTATTTCCGCAGCTACCGCCATCATCCCTTGCCGGAGAACGAGTGGACAGCCGACTCGCAAAGCGAGCTACCCGGGGTACCCATCCCCCACCAAGATGACGAAGATGGCTTCATAGAAGACAATTATATCCAGCCGGAGGACCATCGGAAAGAAGAGGATGAAGAGTCTCATGACGACTTCTACACCATCTGATGGCCAACAAGCCAACAGCACCTTACCAGGAATGTGAATAGCTGGTGCACGATATCTGTTAGAGGCAACCAACTGGCTGTGGCTGATTGCCTTTGCCTTGGAAGACCTTGAAGGCACCATATCAATGAAAGTTACAGCAGGCCTGGACTGGCTATCTGCCATCTCTGTCATTTGCCAAAGATATGGATTTGAATGGGAAGAATGTTCAACTGGTGCACACTCCCGTGGGCTGCTAGCCCTTCACCAGTTATATTCTAATCTTAATATTTTATTCTATGCACCCTTTACTCCAAACACAATTATATATAAATGTGAACCCCAGCCTTGCACTCCCTCCCTGGAGGACGTCCAGCATCATCTAGAGTTTTCCTCCCCAGCGTGACTGTACCTGGCATGTTCCTTGCTGTACCACATATGGGCAGTCTGCATGCAAATACAGCCTGCCCAGGAGTGGCAACTCCACCAGACTGACCTCCACCCATCAGCTTGCATCTGGGCTGCACCAAGAGCCAGCCAACTGCTTGCATCAGGGCTGAGGGCTCCTGAGAAGAGCACTGGGGCAGGGTGCCGTGATGGTTTCAGGAAGCTATATACAGCACCCTGCCGGCCCCTCCCCCCAGCCATGATCTGCCTGCATTGCATAGAGAAGCAAAGAAACCCGATGATGACATCACTAGATCTACAATAAGACATGTAATGAAAATGGAAAGGTTTTATTTTAAAATCTCATTACCATCTTGATTGGGGGGGAAGGGGGGGGGAACCAGGGAAGGCAAAACATAAGCATATTAAACTGCCGCTTTCAATGTTTCACTTTGTCTAGTAGGGGCTGAATTGATGTCCATGTACAGTAGAGCTCAGACTGACAGAGGGAGAGACCAGCTCTAGGATCCAACCAGGCTTTGCCGAGTGCAATGACCAGGAACATGCCAAAGAATGAGGGAGCGGAACAATGATCTCATCATTCTTCAGCAGATCCTTCACTGTCCAATCACAGGCTGGGGGGGCAGGGGGATGGCCAAGCTGTATTGCTTAACTGTAGTTGGTAATAATGTGGTCACCAGCCTACGGGGCTGTGTAAATCTCAGGGCTGGTCGGACAGAAATACAGAAGTCTTTTGGCCGGTGAGGCAGCTCCCATATCTGTATTTCCTCTGCGTGTTTGTCTGCACTTCAGAGTCAACAAAGCATTTACAGGCCAAATTCAAACACGGTCTGTGTGTTCAGGGCCGTACACAGGTTCTGCGGCTAATTAAGTGCAGGTAAGGCGACGAGAACAACAAATTCATCACCAAGTCTGTGTCACTGAGATATGGCAGTAATTACAGGCGCGGCTGGCGTCACTGCGGCCAAATCGCGCTAAACGGGAAGCAACTTTGTTTTACGATTTGTCAGTTATATATTCCATGGATATTCCTCCAGCGTTATTTATCATTATATTGGTTATCACCGAAACATACGCTGGCGGCCACAAAGATAATTCACAAGAGCCGCAAACATTCCGCACGATGATAAATAGATCCGCACACTGGGTGGAGAGGAAGAGAAAGTCACCCAGTCCCCAAAATCCTACAAAATCCCAACAATGGTCAATCCGAAGGGGGCGGATCACTCCCCCTAAATATGCACTTATAGAGGGAAAGATTGAATCTTATGGAAGGATAGAATATGGAATGATGGAATATGGAATGATAGAATACGGAATGATGGAATATGGAATGATGGAATGATGGATTATGGAATGATAGAATACGGAATGATGGAATATGGAATGATGGAATACAGAATGGTATTAAATGTAATGATAGAATATGGAATGATGGATTATGGAATGATAGAATATGGAATGATAGACTATGGAATGATGGATTATGGAATGATGGAATATGGAATGATAGGATATGGAATGATGGAATGATAGAATATGGAATGATAGAATATGGAATGATGGAATATGGAATGATGGACTATGGAATGATAGGATATGGAAGGATATTATATGTAATTATAGAATATGGAATGATACATTGTGTAAAAATCAAGTTTATCAAGATGTCTGGTGAATATTTAAAGTTTATCGAAAGCCAAAACTTTTTTCCGTAAGGAACGCTTAGAACTAGCGATAAGCGCATTGGCTTGGGTTGGACGTTCGCCAAACCCAGCCAGAAACCCCAGTTCAACAAGTGAACTGAACTCTAGAACGTCTGTGTCCTAGCAGCCAATGTTGTATGAGCAGCACAACGACCATTAGTTGCAAGGACACCAGCAACTGGCCCGCACAATGTCATTGGTTGCTAGGATGCAGACGGGGGCACCATAACAACCAATGATGATGTGGGGCTGTCGGTAACTTAGCAACCGATGGCTCTGTGTCCATTTGGCGAACTGTGAAGAGCATGGGTTTGGGGCGAACTCATAGCAGACCACTTCAGCTTTAAAACTTTTCTCATTACTGTTCTGTGCTTGTGTTTTTTTTTTTCTTTATGAAGTACACTCCATTGAAGATATATTCCAGTCAGATATAGGAGGGCCGGGGGCAGGGAAGGAGACAGTCAGGTGAGCTGCAGTGCTCATGTGCTGACAAGAACCACTCTGATAGAAGAAAAGAGCAGAGAGACAGAGAGATGAACTCATCAGTTTGCAAAGTCTCCTTTGCAGGTCCCCTGTCTTTCCTCCATAGTACTAACATTTGTGAGGAGGACAGCACCTTAAGATTGCAAAACTGGTTTGACTATGTTCACACCACCCTCCCCTTTTTTTCCCCCTTGGTTCAATAATTGTACATAATATCATTAGCAAATATTCTCTCCTTGTATTTTATACTCCCCTTTGCCTGCATTGCATTATGTTTTTAAAGCCCAACTCCAGTCAGAACCTTTCTTTTAGGCAGAAAGGGGAAGTGTTTTATCCTCTATCAGGTTTTTATTGCTTTTTCTGGATTGATAAGATGTTCCTCCGCTTGCATACTTGCGCATGTAGCATGGCTCAAAAGGGCCGTCGCATGCAGGTGCTTGACGCTGTCAACACGGAGCCAGTGCGCATTAATTGGCATGCAGACAATCGCCAACAAAACATAAACTACGATAAGATAAGACAAGACAAGACGATGGAATGGGAGCAGAAATAAATCCCTACTTATGGTAAAATAAAGTGCAAATGTAAAAAATAAAAGGATAAAAATAAAGATGTGAATCAGCAGTAATAATAATAATAAAAAGATAATAGTACAGGAATTACAATAGTACAGTGTCAGTTTACTGTATATCATCGTTCTGGTAAGAAACAAGCCAATGATAAAAAGGTGTTTGCAAGGGGTATAACTAGAAATCACAGGGCCCCATACAAAATTTTGCTATGGGGCCCTGTGATTTCTAGTTACGCCCCTGTTTCAGACCTGTGGGAGAAACTGTCCGTGACGCTTGATTTCAAAAGGATTTTCTTTGTAGCAAAACTCTGTTCCCGTCGCCACAGCAATTCAGCTATAAAGACCTGATAGAGGTTCTGATACGTCCCAGTTTTAAACAAAAGGACTTGGACTGAAATAATGCAAATGATTTGATATGTCTTACAATTCTCAGTACCGGACTTCCTTCCTTAAAATGACACATAGGGGTTGATTTACTAACCTTATAAACACGCCACGAACAAGTATACACCTCTGTAGTGTGTTCCCTCCCAGCATGATCTATGGGTGGAATCTAGACACCTTTGTAGTGTGTACACACCCAGCAGGTGTGTTGTGCATGAATTGCAAGGTGATGTTGTGTAAATTAGCTCTACGTTGTGTTGCCTGCGTTGATGAATGCAGGAATGTAAATGCATGAGCTAACCATTTTTGTCTAAACTGTGAAGCAGCATTATACATGCATCATGTGCAAGATTTTTCCATATATGGCATTAGTGGAAATATGCTTTTAGAGACTTGCATGCCGCTATTAGAGCGGCGTGTAGCCTATGGCGCATGCTACATGCCGCGCACGTACGTAAATACATAAAAACTCGCCATAACGGCGTGAAAATGTGACACGTTGCTCGTGTTTGGTTGCTGTGTAAAAATGCACACGCACCTGGTGCGTGCGTTTAGGTTAGTAAATCACCCCCAAAGTGTCTGTACAGCGCAATACAAATGAAGCCATCAAACCGGGTGAAATCACCAAATCTGTCTTTATTAAAATGTCATTCTGAAGTTTCTAATATATATTCGCTTTTCATTAAATAATCATCGTTCATTCGCAATGTAAAAATATATTTTGTACCACGTCTTCATATTAAAAATATTAGCATCTCGCATGCGTCATAAAAGTGACATACGGGTTTTATTTTATTTATTTTTTACATTCGAAGGCAAACTTCCTCCCAAAATTGATACTTACATTTTACACGGCTGCTGGCGGATTGAATGGCTGTGTCGGGGGGAAAATGTCTGCCCTGTACGTGAACCAATGTCATGGAAAAAAGAATTCAGGAACATTGGCGCTGCACCGGTTATGTAGGGCATTGGCAGTGAACCCGGAACCCCCATGTACACCAGGATGTTTGGTTACAATTTAAAATGGCAGATAAACTTTATTCGCTTCGTTTATTGCTTTTCTTCCTATAATTTAAGAAAAATTCTCAGAGCCTAGGATGGCTCGATACAAAGTGCAGTGCAGGAGTGAGCCTAAGCTCACCAGTATGTGTACATGGACACGGAGAATGCGGCTCTGTTCTATACATTCTGCATGTCATTGAGATCTGCCCCCGTCTCACATTATTGCCTCGGGATCAATGTGACCATATTCAGGACACGGTATTTGTATGTTTCCCTGGAGGTAGGTGATTCAATGTGCTTACTATTAAATCTCTCTCCTCTCTCGCTCCGTCTCCCTCGCTTGGCAGAACCAAATACATTTTAACATTGCTTAGGGGGATAGGAGGGGAGTCCGGGGACATTATCAGGAGTAAGGGATAATATGAAGGGGATAGGAGGAGAGTCCGGGGACATTATCAGGGGTAAGGGATAATATAAAGGGGATAGGAGGGGAGTCCGGGGACATTATCAGGGGTAAGGGGTAATATAAAGGGGATAGGAGGGGAGTCCGGGGACATTATCAGGGGTAAGGGGTAATATAAAGGGGATAGGAGGGGAGTCCGGGGACATTATCAGGGGTAAGGGGTAATATAAAGGGGATAGGAGGGGAGTCCGGGGACATTATCAGGGGTAAGGGGTAATATAAAGGGGATAGGAGGGGAGTCCGGGGACATTATCAGGGGTAAGGGGTAATATAAAGGGGATAGGAGGGGAGTCCGGGGACATTATCAGGGGTAAGGGGTAATATAAAGGGGATAGGAGGGGAGTCCGGGGACATTATCAGGGGTAAGGGGTAATATAAAGGGGATAGGAGGGGAGTCCGGGGACATTATCAGGGGTAAGGGGTAATATAAAGGGGATAGGAGGGGAGTCCGGGGACATTATCAGGGGTAAGGGGTAATATAAAGGGGATAGGAGGGGAGTCCGGGGACATTATCAGGGGTAAGGGGTAATATAAAGGGGATAGGAGGGGAGTCCGGGGACATTATCAGGGGTAAGGGGTAATATAAAGGGGATAGGAGGGGAGTCCGGGGACATTATCAGGGGTAAGGGGTAATATAAAGGGGATAGGAGGGGAGTCCGGGGACATTATCAGGGGTAAGGGGTAATATAAAGGGGATAGGAGGGGAGTCCGGGGACATTATCAGGGGTAAGGGGTAATACAAAGGGGGATAGGAGGGGAGTCCGGGGACATTACGTCTGTCAATCTCGCCTCCCTCCTGACCAATGTTGATGTCCGGCTATGATAGGGTGGCCTTGTGTACTGCAGCAGAGACACAAGCTACTGTGTGAATGTCTCACCAGGGGAATGAGAAAGCTATAACTAGATCCAACAATCCAACCAATCACTGCCCATATAAAAAATGACAAATCAATTTTGGGGGGAGGTTGTCTTTAAGAAATGTTTCAACACTTAGACCACAAATATAATGTCTGATTACTGGGGCGGCGGAATGCTCAACACTGGAATTTGAAGGTTTACGATACACCCAGAGCTATCTGCATAGAATCAGTGATTTAAAGGGCCACCAACCATAAGCGGATGTATTTAAAAGAGGTTTCTATAACATTCACATATTAATACTGTACATGGTGCCAGCTGTCAATTTTTCCCAAAATGGTATCTTACATCGAAAATTGGCTGCATGGGGAGGTTCTGCAAATGACAAACACCTGCAATACTGCGCGGCGATGGAGACATTTACATACCCGTTCATGAATCTTATGATTCGTTCTTTCACATAAACTAACTTTCTGCTTTAATGTTAGTGGCCCTTTAAATTCAAACTTCAAGGAAGTCATCATGTCCAGTTCAATTAAATAATTAGAGGTGAAGATATAATTAGGTGCGTCATGTACTGGGAAGGAACCAGGTAGCCGACGGTCTATAAACCATGTGATGAGTAAGAGGTATGAATTAAAAACATATAGAGCCAGTGCTAGACTTCACGGCGGAGGAGCGAACCTCAAATGACATAAGGCAGGTGGATCAGCTTTGATTTCAGATAGATTTATACTTCACAGTGGTGTAGCGCAAACACGTCTCGGGGCAAATACACAGTGCCACCTTCATCAGGGCTCTATGTCTGGAACCTGCGTTCCTAAGGTGAGAGTATGTAATTGAAAGCCAATCTTATACAGTATAAGAAGAAAGTTCATTTGTCAATGTTGCGGGTTACATAAGATGGGATTTAAATTACTTAAAGGAGAACTATGAGGTGAGTGATTTACACCCATCCTCATAGTTGGAGCCGACGTGTGACAATGAAACTGTGTCAGGATCCAGAGCACCCCCAGGTGGCGCTGGAGCCAGGTCCTGCAGTTCCTGTGCTCGCCTGCGGGTGTCTCTAGCAGCCAGGAACTGTAAGGAACCTGCAGCTCCAGTACTCACCTGCGGGTGTGCCCCAGCTGTGACTGATCATCCCATCACCTGGTGCTTCCTGGGAGGGTATTTAGGCCCTAACTGCAGTAAGGAAGCTGGCTCAGTATTGCATCGCCTGCACCTGACTGATTCCCATGTCCTGTGCCTTGGAACCTGAACCCTGCTACCTGAACCCTGCTACCTGAACCCTGCTTCCTATCTGCAACTAGGGTTGCCACCTGTCCAGGATTCACCCGGACAGTCCGGGTTTTGAATGCTGTGTCCGGGTTTCATGGCAGCTGAAACCCGGGCACAAGATGTCAGGCAGACAGGGGCAACCAAAATTAAGATAGGGGCTACTGGCCCCCCAATGAAAATAGTCTCAACTGTGATATTTGCATATGAATGGGCGGAGCGGTTTACATATGAATAAGCCGCAGCTCATTCTCTCCAAAAAATTCCCGTGCGTCGCTAAGAGTGTTCGGGTTTCGCTGGAAGAAAAGGTGGCAACCCTATCTGCAACCCTGTCACCGACCCAGCTTGTTACCCGACCACTCTCCTTGAATCCTGTTCCTGTACCGCGCTGCCCTCCTGTTAACGACCTGGCTTGTACCTGACCACTCTCCTTGAATCCTGTTCCTGTACCGCGCTGCCCTCCTGTTAACGACCCGGCTTGTACCTGACCACTCTCCTTGTATCCTGAGGCCTGCCGTATATCTGCAGGCCTGTTACCCCTCCTTGTTGCTATTCCCCCCTGGCTGTAGGTGTGTGTTTGTCCCAACGGTGGGTTGTTACTTCACTGCTAAACCTGTGGGGGGTTGAGGGGGTTTGTAGTTTTGTTGATGTGTACCAAATAAACTGTGTGCATAGAACCCTATCCTGTGTGGGCATATTAATTTGGTCATCCTGCGTGGGTACCTGCATGTGGTGTGAGGACGCCTGTGCATGGTACCCTGACAAACTGGCACAGGTCGACTCTATAGATCGGGAAGTGAACACATACCGTCGCTCGCTCACTTCTCAATCTATCCCCTCAGGGATTCCTCCTCCCCTCTCCGATCCTCCAACGGTGACTGGGGGGACAGACAGGGGAGAGGGCGGGCACGGCTCTAGATTGGCAGATCCCGCTGTCAATCAGCCGGCTGGTTGGGTCCTGTCAGGATCCGTCCCGGCTGTGGCGCTCTCAGTATATAGCGAGCTAGAGCCCGCTATATACTGAGCTGTGGGTCACGGGAGGACGTTAGTATATGTCCTTCCATGACCCTAAAGACAACTATGGGATAAAAAGGTTACCTCATAGTTCTCTTTTAATCAAACCTCGGGAACATACTGCAGGTTGCAGACAATCAGCCCTGATGAAGGGGACATTGATATTGCCCCAAAATGTGTTGGCTATACATTTTACGAACCATGCGCCTATCTGTGACCAGGATTGATCACCCTGCCGTTTCTCATAGAGGTTCACTCCTCCAACGTTGAGTTTGGCATTTACCATATTGATCTTTAATTGATTTCAACTAAATGACCGAAAATGAGATCATATTCGAGATTGAAGTCTACATCCAGCTCTCCTGAAAAAAGCACCATTGTGTCAAGTTGGCTCAGATCCACAGACGTCATGAAGACACATAAAGATGAATTCCCCTCTGGTAAAGTTAACGATGGCTTAGATGAGGTTGGCCAAACTTGAGGCCGTGTTCTGCCGCTGATTCATCTGCCCGGAGATGGAGAAGACACTCATGTTCCAGGGATGGAAGCGGCTGGGAACATAAGACCTACACAGAACCGCAAGCGAAAATGTCAAAACAGCAACAAAGATGATGGCCCCCATGACCACGAGGGAGACCCCTACTGTGTGCATGGTGACCAGAACGGGAGGGAATCCCGGAGTTTCTCCAGTAACGGAAAGCACGAGAAGGACCACACCGCACACGAGGATGATGATGGCACTTACAAAGAACACGATGATGTCCGATAGACCGCCGCTCCTAAGCATGTCAATGTGATTTCTTCTGGTTACACACTGCATGTCCTGGACCGCAGAGCTCAGAAGTTGCTTCAGCAAAACAAAAAGAGAGAGGATGCACAAGGTTGCCCCCACGGCAAGCCTCCATTCTCCGGATGGGCTGGTGGTGGTGGATAACAGGACGATGCCACCGATGCCACATGCCAGTATAAGGAGGACAGCCAAGCAGTAGCACAGGATTGATTTAACTGGCTGTCTAGACCACCAGAGTTCTGTATGCTCTTCTAAGGCCTCAGTCTGCATCCGTTCCTGGTCAGGTGGGGCCCTCGGAGGACGTAAAGCATCAACGCCTGCCATTTTGGTAGGACAGCAGTGTTTAAGTCAAGAGGAAAACCTCAAACTAGAAGCATCATTGCAGGGAGTGTACGTCAAACCACCACTCGGAGAGGCAGCAAGGAGTTTGGGAGATCACGCCGCAAATTCCTGGGCACAATTGTGGAGCGGCTGTTCCATGTTTTGGTGGTCACAATCTCACAAACCATACAACATCCTGAGCTGTATACTGGCAATAATCTTCACAAATGCAACTGTAGATTATTCAGAAGGGGCCGGCAGAGCACAGTTGGCTGTTCAAGGACGCAAAAACAGGAAGATGACGGGCAGAGACAAGTGTCACAAGAAGACGTCGACAATTCCACGTCAGGAGGGTCAACAATTCCTCTGAACTTCTTCCTGTTGATCCACGGCAGATTCTTCCTGTCTGATGACTACTAACGGCATATCCCTTTAATCTTCAGAGCTGTCTGGTGTCACCTGAAAGAACAAAGGATTCAGGGATGAGTATGTCAAGCATTCCGGATGTTATGGAAATACAGAGCACAAAGGGTTCAGCTGTCTGCAATACAAATGTGTCCACTTCAGAAATGACCCAAAAAGTAAAATAATATCAGGTTAAGGCAATATAATGTTCTTTGGATTCAATGTGAGTTCTGGAAGTCCTTGTGTTGAAGTTTAAAACTCCAGAACCTCCAGTTCCACGCCGTAGTAATCACTGCCCTCGATTTTCAGCATTGGTTCCTCTATATTAGGCCAAAGCGTCTGCGAGTTTTAAGGTGTATAAATCATTATAGGTAAAGTTCACTTTGATCAATTTTATTTATTTACACAATTCCTTGTACACAATGACATGTGATACGATTTTCTTCTGATACAATTTGCATCAAATACAAAGATAAGCACTTAACACGGGGCACATCCATGACTATCAGTTTCTAAAGCATACTGGCTTAAAGGAGAACTATGGGGTCAGTGTTTTTCCCCATAGTTCTCCTTAGGGTAACGGGAGGACACAAACTAGCGTCCTCCTGTCACCCTAGGCTCAGTATACCGCGAGCTGTAGCTCTGTAGCTGTAGTACTGAGACGCCGCAGCTGGAGCGGATCCCGACTTAGACGACGGGATCCGCCCAGCTGCGTGAGTGACAGCTGGCTCTGCCTATCTAGAGGCAGAGCCAGCTGTACCCGCCCCCTCCCCCGTCCGTTCTGACAGTCAGCGCTGGCAGATCGGAGCGGGGAATCCAGCCCCTCCCCCTGTCACGGCAGAGCGCCGTGACAGGATCGAGAGGTGAGCGAACGCCGGTATGTGTTCCCTCACCTCCCGATCTACTGAGCCGATTTGTGACAGTCTCATTGTCACAGGTCGGCTAGAACTATGAGGTGAGCGGAAATCACTCATCTCATAGTTCTCCTTTAACAAGAAAGCCCAGCACTGCCTGCATGTGTCTTAAGGTGCCCATACACTGCTCGATTCTCGTACGAGAATCGCGGGAAATCCCGCGATCGTACGAGAATCGAGCAGTGTGAACGGAGACGTGCGACCGTTTCTACTGTACGGTTGCACGTCTTCCTTCGAACCAGCATGTTCGAAAACCAGCCGGGAATCGTACGATTCTCGGCTGGTTAGAACGGTGCTCGGAAGACAAATGCCGAACATGCCGGCGTGCGCACGCCGGTCCCAGAGGGGGCCTGTGTTCAGCATTGCGGTCATCGGAAGCCCGCAAAAAAAAAAATAAGACACTGTCTTATTTTCGGGGAAACACGGTACTACACAGTTATGTCATTCAGCTGCCTCTGTAATCTGATCTTTCCTTCTACTTAGGTGTGTTACTTAGCAAAGCTCTACAAGGGGTCTACAAAAAGGTAAATACAAAATATTGTAATACTTCATATGTAATATATATATATTGTAACGTTGGGGAGCTCACAGAGCACTCGCACAGCGTTTTTCTTTCACAAGGCAGACAATCAAGAAGTCCAAAATAAAACAGCTTGCTGCAGCAGAATACATATATTGGCTCACCAACCACCGAGTTGTCTCACACACTCACGGTGTCCCAGCCTTTTAATAAGTCTCTCTTGCAGCACTGCTGCTCTGGCCTCAATCTTCGGGGCCACTGCCTGGTTCCCCTAGACAACCTCAATAACGTGCCAATCCTCACAACAGGCTTCACAAACCCGCAGCACCCCGCTGCACTGGCCTCCACACTGACTCCCAGGTGGGGCCCTGAACACATCCGTGCACACTCTTCATGAGGGAGGTGCACAATCAGGTGCTGGTCGCTACTGAAGCATGGACGCAGGAATGGAGATTTCATCCCACCCAGAGCTCTAAGAAATCTCCCGGCTTCAGGATCCCAACCATGAACCAGAAAACATGGAAAGGACGGAAAAGCCAGTTCTCTCCTGGTACAAGTCATTTCTGCGTGGAGCCGCTCAGCCCCTCTGGCTCAGAACCCTGGGTCACTTTGAGGCCACAGAACACCGTGGTATTGCCCCACAATATATATATATATACACACACACAACGTGTTTCCCCGAAAACAAGACCTACCCCGATAATAAGACCTAGTTGTGATCATTCCCAGGGCCGGTGGTGGCATAAGCGGGAACTTGAAGAGCCGCAGGAGAGAATCAGCGGTGCCAACGAAGCCGGCGCTAGAGGAAGCGAGGCGGCAGCGGAGGGAGCCGAGCCGCATAAGCCGATGCCTCCTCTATGGCGCCGGCTCCTGTTACAGGCGGAGTGAGTGATACCAAATGCGCTCCGCCTGTGAGGAATCGATAGCGAAAAGCGCGCTTCGCTCATTCTGGTTACCAAATTGCTCTTGGAAAGGTTCGGCACCCCTGTTTGCCCTGATTGCCCTATTCTTAATTTTGCCATTTTGCATTAACTTTGGATTGTTGTACATTAAAAAAATAAAATTAAAATAAGATCTTCCCCAAAAATAAGACCTAGTGTGTTTTTTTAAGCCAAAACAAATGCAAGACAGTGTCTCATTTTTGGGGAAACACGGTATATACACGCTATATACAGTGTATATATAACCAATTATCAAATAATCAGGTGACATTGTTGCGGGGTTTTATCACTGTTACGTTGGTCTCCTCATTTGCATAATCCCGTTTATTTCACTCTTCCTGCTACTTGTATTAATAATTGACATTCTAGTACAGAACTAGATTGGACTGGTCCCAGGGCAGGCTACACCCTTCTCCCTTTTTGTGCCCTCTACACATTTATACATTTTCAGTATTTTGCTAGTAACACCTGTGCTGTGTTCTGTGCCATTCCTAGTGATGTGCGCTGCAGTATAAGTTGGTGCTATAAATATTTGATAAAAACACCCGTGGTACCTACCTCCATCCAGCAGAGTTCTGTGTAAGTGGCATGGTGTCAGAAAGCTCCGCAGGGTAGAGAGGTGCCAGGTAGAATCTCGGACGGGTGTAGAAGATAGAGGAGCTGAGCAGCAGAGGGTTCCTAAGAATAGGGAGGCAGAGCGGCAGAGGGGTCCCCGGAATCGGGAAGCAGAGGGGTCCCAGGTATAGGGAGGCAGAGTGGCAGAGGAGTCCCCGAAATATCGAAGCAGAGCAACAGAGTGGTCCCAGGTATAGGGAGGCAGAGCGGCAGAGGAGTCCCCGGAATAGTGAAGCAGAGGGGTCCCAGGTATAGGGAGGCAGAGTGGCAAAGGAGTCCCCGGATAAGGGAAGCAGAGCGGCAGAGGGGTCTAAGGAATAGGAAGGCAGAGTGGCAGAGGGGTGCCAGGAATAGGGAAGCAGAGCGGCAGAGGGGTCTAAGGAATAGGAAGGCAGAGTGGCAGAGGGGTCGCAGGAATAGGGAAGCAGAGCGGCAGAGGGGTCCCAGGAATAGGGAAGCAGAGCGGCAGAGGGGTGCCAGGAATAGCGAAGCAGAGCGGCAGAGGGGTCCCAGGAATAGGGAAGCAGAGCAGCAGAGGGGTCCCAGGAACAGGGAAGCAGAGCAGCAGAGGGGTCCCAGGAATAGGGAAGCAGAGCGGCAGAGGGGTCCTAGGAAAAGGGAGCAGAGTGGCAGAGGGGTTCTAAGACTAAGGAGGCAGAATGGCAGAGGGGTCCCAGGAACAGGGAAGCAGAGCGGCAGAGGGGTCCCAGGAACAGGGAAGCAGAGTGGCAGAGGGGTGCCAGGAAGAGTGGGGCGATGCAGAGACCTAGCAGAAGAAGCCGGTTCCCTCTCATTGCTGTCACTGAGTGTGACTCTTGTCACCGGCTGCTCTCCCTGTCACCAAGTTACTCTGACAATGGCGGGGAGGAGACTCCGGTAACTCTTTGCATTCCATGTACAGTGACACAGGACACGAGAGCTCGTAATACAAAACTGATGTATTGTTTTGAAGGGAGGTTCTGGGATGCTGAAAATAAAAAAAATGTCCTTTCCTCCTTTCCTATTATATATTTATTATTATTGTTTGACAGAAGGTAGAAGAGCTTACAATCTATTAGGATATAAGGGAGGATACAGAAGGTAGAAGAGCTTACACTCTATTAGGATATAAGGGAGGATACAGAAGGTAGAAGAGCTTACACTCTATTAGGATATAAGGGAGGATACAGAAGGTAGAAGAGCTTACACTCTATTAGGATATAAGGGAGGATACAGAAGGTAGAAGAGCTTACACTCTATTAGGATATAAGGGAGGATACAGAAGGTAGAAGAGCTTACACTCTATTAGGATATAAGGGAGGATACAGAAGGTAGAAGAGCTTACACTCTATTAGGATATAAGGGAGGATACAGAAGGTAGAAGAGCTTACACTCTATTAGGATATAAGGGAGGATACAGAAGGTAGAAGAGCTTACACTCTATTAGGATATAAGGGAGGATACAGAAGGTAGAAGAGCTTACACTCTATTAGGATATAAGGGAGGATACAGAAGGTAGAAGAGCTTACACTCTATTAGGATATAAGGGAGGATACAGAAGGTAGAAGAGCTTACACTCTATTAGGATATAAGGGAGGATACAGAAGGTAGAAGAGCTTACACTCTATTAGGATATAAGGGAGGATACAGAAGGTAGAAGAGCTTACACTCTATTAGGATATAAGGGAGGATACAGAAGGTAGAAGAGC